ATTGGCTTCTCGAGTTTATGCTCAAAAGTTTCCTGAAAGAAATCATCCTAAGCCAACAGTTTTTAAGCGCTTATTACACCAATTTGAGGAAAGTATGAATGTACTTTTCATAACAATGGTCTCGTGAATAGACACAACTTTCATTATTATTTTGATACAAATTCGCGCGTATACAGGGTCATGAAAAATCAAAATAGGTGGTCAGTTAATGTGTGGGGTGGAATACTGGGCCAGTATTTAATTGGACCCTATTTTTTTGAAGGACATCTAAATGGTTTGATGTTTCTCCAGTTTCTAATAAACCATCTCACAATATTATTAGAAGAAGTCCCTTTCAATATTAGAACCAACATGTGGCTTCAATTGGATGGAGCTCCGCCTCTTTATCACTGCGAAGATCGGCAATTTTTAAATGCCAACTTTCAAAACAGGTGGGTTGGCAGAAATGGGTTTCAAAATTGGCCCCTCAGATCTCCGGACTTAAAGGAATTGTCTACCATACGCTTCCGACAACTTCACACGATAGGAAAACACGCATAAGAGACGCTTTTAAAACTGTAACTCCGCAAATGTTGTCCAGAGTTAGCAGTGATTTTGAAAAAAGAACTTACAAGTGCCCGGAAATGGACGGTCAACATTTCGAACATTTGTTATAATTAATTTGCCTCGGTTTTATGGTATTGTTGATATGTTATTTAATCTTTTAATTTAAAAAAAACACCAAATGGTGCACAGATCCATTATTTGGTGTATTTTGTAAAAAAGCAAAAACTTAGTTATCAACATCCTAGTACCGTTCGATAGGTAATTAAAAATTGCATTTCCTGGTAAGCTAAAAAATATGGGGTTGTATTTAAATTAATCAAGTTATAGCCACTTAAACTTCTCATTTGATTAGTTTAAATTTGTGGACTCCCTGTATAAAATTGTAAGTTTATTATCATTTGGATATAAAATATGATTTCTTGTTAGACCAAACTACGAATTACGTTTACATAACTGAAATAATTCTAAAGTATTTGACACATGAAAATAATATTAGATTTTGATAAAATTCGAATTATTTAAAAAACCTTTAGATTTAGACATTATAAATCTTA